TTATCTTGCCCATGTAATTGTAACCCCTCTGTACAGTATTTTCACAATAAAAAAAAAAGAATCTATTCTCCCTAACAAATGCCCAAAAAGACAGGCAGACAAAGAAACCATATGACATTCTATATAAATGACCCAAATGATAATCATTGCAGTCACATTAATAATAAATACCCACAGATGACTTCATATTCTAATGAAGTAATGTAATCCTACCATTTTTATGGTATAATAAGCTGGGCATGGTGGCACATGACTGTAATTCTAGCCACTCAAGAGCTGGAGATCAAGAGGACTGCCATTCAAAACCAGCCCTAGGAAGAAGTTCTCACGACCTATTTGAACCAATACAAAAGCTGGGCATGGTGACATACACTTGTCATTCTAGCCATGCAGGAAGCTTAACAGGAGAATTGAGATCCAGGCTAGCCCCAGCAAAAAAGTAAGACTTTATTTTTTTTTTAATGAAAGCAAAAAGGGATGGAGGCACGGACCAAGTGGGAGGAGTGCCTGCCTAGCAAACTCATGGCCCTGAATTCAATTCCTAGTACCCCTGTGTGTGTGTGTGTGTGTGTGTGTGTGTATACCTATAACAATTATTGTGTTAGATAATTCCCAGTACCCCTGTGTGTGTTTGTGTGTGTGTATGTATACCTATAACAATTATTGTGTTAGATAATAACCTGAGTCAAGTCTAAAGACTTTTATATTTTTTATTATTATGTCTTGCTAGCTCACATTTTTTTAAATTTCCCTTTTTAAAAAATTCTGTTAAGAGCAGGGTGCTGGTGGCTCAGACCTGTAATCCTATTTACTCAGGAGGCTGAGATCTGAGAATGGCTGTTCAAAGCCAGCCCAGGCAGGAAAGCCCATGAGACTCATCTCCAATTAACCACCAGAAAACTGGAAGTGGTACTGTGGCTCAAAGTGGCAGAGCACTAGCCTTGAACTGAAGAGTTCAGGGACAGTGCCCAGGCCAAGAGTTCAAGCCCATGACTGACCAAAAAAAAAAAAATCTATTTATAAGTCAACTTTTGAACAGCAAAAGTAAATGTCCGCATGCTAAACTCTGAAGGTAAGATCCTGAAATTCACAGAGAAAACTTAAAAACTGCTCTTAACCAACTCCATAGTCTATTAATCGTTTCACACTATTCTAATAAACTTAATTATATCTCTAAATTTCCATGAATTTAAATTAGTGAAGAGATACTTGCTACTAAAGGCAGCAAGAAGTACTAGCTGAAACAGAATTTTCTAAGCACAACAGTCCAGGGCCACTTAGAACATTCTAGCCCCAAGAACATCAGTTAATTTCTGCCCTGTAGAAGCCTTACAATCTTTGAATATATTTTGGACAAGTTCAAATGCGGTTTCTGTTGTGCATTAGGTAGTACTTAACCTTGGAAATAAATAATGCATCCTAAGCCAGACACTAGTGATTTATACCTATAATCCTAGCTACTCAGGAGACTAAGAGCTGAGGATTAAGGTTCAAAGCTAGCCTAGACAGGAAAATCTGTGAGTCTCTTACCTCTAATTAACCACTAGAAAACCAGAATTGGAGCTGTAGCTCAAAGTGGCAGAGCAATAGCCTTGAGCAGAAAAGCTCAAGGATAGTGCCCAGGCCTTGAGTTCAAGCCCTACAACCAACAGAAAAAAAA